AATATGAGCAAGTCGCATAAACATGCACTTCATAACATTTATACACATATATAAATGTTTTCGACGCTCTCGTGCGTTCTAACTACCCTCTAAAGATGTTATAGACAATACCCTCTGAGCATATCATTGTGCTCCGCCATCACCGTCCATCTCGCCAAACAGGTCTATATCGCCGGCCAGCTTTTTCACCGCGTCCTCCACCTCATCCTCTAGTTGCTGGGTCTTCGCCTCGCCCAGCCCTTTGGCGAATCCGACCCCTATCGCCTGAAGGTCAATGGCTGGATAGTGGGACCGAACCACCACAAGGGCATGAGTAGCGGTGGTAACGATGGCGTCACGGTTGAAGCTCTTAAAGTTCTCCCACGCTACCTTGCACCTCTAGATGATGGTGTCCGAACGCTGCGGCCTGCCATCGGGCTGAGGAGCCACCTCTAGGTCGACGCAGTCAAGCACCGGTTTAACTCCAGCGACTACGGTGTCGAACATGTCCCTTTGGGTCCTAGCCTCCTACACCAGCACATCAAACTATGCCTTGACTTTATGACGGTAGCCTGCAAGCATTACAAGGTTCCATCAAACAAGAAAACCACTTCAGCAGTAACTTCGACCAGGAAGTATTCACCTTTTAGTTCCTCGGCCAGTTTGTCTGCTCGCTCTGACTCCTTTGCCTTCTCCTCTCAGGGTTGTTCAAGGGCCTAGCGCAGCTGGCCGAGCTTTGTGTCATGCCCTACAAGCACAACAGTCATCACCAAAGATATAGCTATTCAGCGATACAAAGCACATTCACTGATACGACATACCTTTCTTCTGCTCAGAGACTTTCCGCAGCTGCTCCAACTGCTCGAAAGCACCCGTTAGTTGCTCGAACACAGTGGCTAGCTACTCAGACTTGCTCCATAGCTGCTCAGACGTGGTCGCCAGCCGCTCAAATAGGATGCCCTTCTAGTATTCTAGGTCCCGCGTGTTGGACTCTACAAGGTCTCGCTCGCGCTGGGCCTTCTGGATGTTTCTCTCTGTGAGGTTCATCGCCACCTTGAGTTTTTCGTTCTCCTCGGCGACGGGCTCCATCCTCTTTAACAGCTGGTGTTGTTGCTCGGTAGTCCGAGTTATCCCCTGCAAATGCACAATGATAATGATGAACTCCGATCTCCAATGTTAAAGACAAGCACTCCTGATGCAGTATTGACCTTGATTTGTTTCATCACCCCGCCAAGGGCTGACTTCAGTCTCCTCATCTCCCTGGTGGTGTCCTCCTCCTCGACAACCACTACCTTGTCACCGCGCTTGCGGAGGATTCAGACAGGTTGAGGTCGAGGTTCATCACGCTCAATCTCTTCCACCTCGTCCTCCTCCGCTGCAGCTGGAGGCACCACCTGGGGGGTCGGTGGCTGCACCCGGAGGCTCAGTGGCTGGATAGCGTGTCCGACCATGCCCTCCAACGCCTCAGGCAGCGTCGCCTGCTCCTCCAGCACCGCAGGCCCCTCCGTTCCAAACACCGGCGCGGCATCGGTGGTTTCAGCCTCTGCTCCCGAAGATCCGACGGTTTCCGCCGTTGCCCCGGGCACCATCGCTGATCTGTCAGCCAACCTCTCATCGCCGCCAAGTCCGCCAGTAGCTGCGGTTGACTCCTCCACAGGCCACCGAGCAACTGGGGACTCCGGCATGGGGTCTACCGGCACCTTTTCTGCTCTAGGACCAGCCTTCGATTGCTCGGCAGTTCGGACAGAAGGGGCCGGATCCTCCGCACGCTTTGCACTGCATTAGATCATCTCGTCAGTCGCCAAAAAAGCTAAGAAACAACAACAAAGTAACTCCAAGACAAGGATACTTATGGTTTGGTCTGCCGGTACAATTTCTTGAACCGGTGACGCCTACCCGAGCACCTAGGCGCGGCCGTGGGGTCGACTTCTATGCTCTAGGGTGGAGGTCCCGCCTCCTCCACTGTCGGCCTCTGTTCTGCCCGTCGCTCTGGGACTCCCTCCTCCTGCTGCTCAGGGACTCCCGTCGCCTGCTGCGCGGGGACTCCTCTCGCCCGCTGCTCGGGGACTTCTTCGCCTTTCTTCGCTTGTTCCTCCGCATGCGTGCTGCGTAGAGGTGCTTCAGTGCTCGGTGGAGGAGCCACCGGAATTTCATCATCATCTAACCACTTGAACACCGTGGTCTTTTGCGTTCGAGTGGTCGGGTTGCCACCAAGCGAGATGTCGCCCGGTTTGAGGGGAGCGGCGGCCGTCGTCTTCCTCTTCTTCCGGGCCGACTCGTCTGCCGCTGCCCTTTTCCCCTGGATTTTCTCCGACACCGGGGATGGACTCTCCAACAAGATGCTGACTGCTCCCTCCTCAGGCTACGACGGTGGCCGGGCGTCTACTCCCTTCGGCCATATGCTCCTTGGCACGCCCGAGAAGTACACCGCCCTATCCTGCGAGTGGATCATCGCATAAGTGAATCAGTCCAATGCTCGGAAATGACAAAAGGTAAAAAGCATCAGGAACATACAACTGAGATATTTACCTGAGGAGGCAGATTCTTGCAGTTAAAGGGCTTCGTATACCCTGACATGCTGAATGAGGCAAACAGAGCGAATAGCTCTGCAGCCCGCTCTTCCACAACGTCCCTCGACAGCATCTTCGGCCTCTCCCGGGTACCATCGGTCTCCCCCTTGAATTCAAAGGCAGGGTGGACTCTCTCCTTACAGGGCTGAACGCGGCGCACTATAAAGCTCGCCGCCACCAATCCGCCATTGGTCTTCACACCCTTTATTAAGCTAAGGATCTCCCTCACTTGCTCCATATCAGTGCTGCTTGGCATCTCTGACCAGCTCTTCTGGCTCTTCGGGATGTGGTCGGCGTCGCAGCGGATGGCCGGGTGGCTCTGCCTCATGTAGAACCACCTGGCATTCCACCCCTTCAGTGACGTGTTCAGCAGCACAGTAAGGTACTCCCCCGCCATTCCATCGCGCAGCTGAAGGTACACTCCACCGACCACCTTGGAACCACCGCCGCCTCTCTTCTTCAGCCAGAACAGGTGACGGAAGAGGTTGAAGTGCGGAAGAATTCTGAGATATGCCTCATAGAAATGGATGAAGATAGAGATGTGTAAAATGGTATTTAGGTGGAGATTGCACAGACTAACCACCCAAAGCTCCAACAAATCCCTCAGGAATGGATGAAAATGAAATCCCAACCCACGCCAGAAATAATCCTCAAATATCACCACTTCATCAGTATGAGGCGTTGGGAAGGGCTCACCGAGGGCCGGCTGCCATCCGGCCGTAGCGCGGTCAGGAAGAACGCCAGCTTCCACCACTCTGTTGAGCTCCGCTTCTCCCGTTCGTGACAGCACCCACTCTTCGTCACGCCGAGCTTCGGCGCTCGCCTTCTTGGGGCTCGTCTTCTTCGATTTGACAGCTCCCTTCTTCGGCGCCATCTCTCATATCTGATTAGGGTTTGGCGGTGGAAGCAAGTGTGGATGCGAATCTAGAAATGTGAGGGCTGAGGAGGAAGACGAAATGGCAAAGTGGCAAAGGTGGGAACACGGGATGCGGCGGCGCAGTTATAAAGCACATTCCCCACCCTTTCGCATTCGAAGGTTTTTGGGGAACCGTTCCCACGATTTACGCCACCCCGAATTCTCCACAACAGCAAGGTGGTCCGTTACCAAGGCTTTTGCATGACCGCGGCCCGTATCGCCGATTTATCTCCGCAATTTGTTACGGCCCGCCGAATTTTCACCGACTTTTCCGCCAATCGTTACGGCTCAGTAATTACTACTGTACAGCCGTTAGTCCGGTATTTTCTTCGTGTTTGGTTTTCTCCAAGACTTCCTCTTATGGCTCGGGGACTGCGTCAGCATTACGTCTTGATTCCGCTCCGCATAAGGGGATTTTTCCTCAGTTGACTGCTGATTCTTACCCTGGCACCACGTGACCACGTCACCTACTGTGAGGCTCGGGGACTAAGTGGACACACTTCACCTTACGGTGAATGTGCTTTTCGGGGCTACGCCCGGGGACTGGCTGCCTGCTCGGCTGGTCTTCTATTTTTTCTACTTTGGACCCTGGCACCACATGACTATGTCATCTACTGTCAGGCTCGGGGACTAAGTGGGCACACTTCACCTCGCGGTGAATGTGTTTGCTTTTTTCTGGAAGACTCCGTTGCTCTTGAAGCTAAAGAAGACTATCTCTTTTTCTCGTGGTCGGACTCTAAGTAGGCACACTTGGTCCACTGCGAAGAAATTTGTTATTCTGAACTTGAGCTCCTTACACCCTTATGGTAAGCCGTACTTGGGTTATACTGCTCAGCTACGGTTCACGCTGCTCGGCGATGGTTCACGCTGCTCGGCAACTGCTCACAACTGCTTGGTAACTCATCACGGTGGTCGTACCATTAGTTTGACTGCTCGGCTTTGTTCACACCTGCTCAGACAAGCTCAAGATGGCGTTGCACAACGGGTACAAGGCGCTCGGGGACTAGCTGTGGGTGGTACGACCCCGGATACCCACGGCAGACCAGATGGGTTGCGCCCCTAGGGGCGGTCCAGCCCACAAGACGAAGCCTTGCGGGGCACGACTCTGCTCGGAGCCTCCTGCAAGACACCGGGAAGATATCCTGAAGATACTACGAGATATGTTAGGATACGTATGATCCCAAGATTCCTGTAACCTGTTATAACTTTTCGGTTATCTCTCAGATCTAACCGACTTGTAACCCTATCCCCGGACTATATAAGGCGAGCAGGGACCCCTCCAAACTCACGCAATATCATACGATAGCTAATACAAACCAATAGACCACAGGAGTAGGGTATTACGTCATACTGACGGCCTGAACCTGTCTAACTCGTGTGTCTCTGTTGCTTTCTTGTTCTTGATCACACGCTTCTCTGTCGATCAATCTACCTTCGTGGGATACTTCTCGGAGGACTACCGACGATGTTCTGTCGACATTGCTTGTGTGGAGCCAGCACTTGTGGATCCTGTTTGTGGAGAGAGTCCTGGAAACATGTCTATCCTTGAGCTAAATTATTCGAAAGCAAAATTTATTGTGCGCCTTAAAAGACGAAATGGACGGGTGAAGCACCTTGTAAGGCTCCCTGTTGCTCCAGTGTTCATGTTTTTTCTTTCCTTCTAAATTCAATTGAGGAAAGCCGGTTGATATTTGGTACAAACCCTACCTGTGCAGTACGAGGACCTGTATATTGAGAGGAATGATATCAAATTTGATTCGGCTCCTTTTGTAAGTATAGAAGTGAACCAAAGTCTAGTGCCTAAGGTTAATTCCTACACTCTAGATTCTAGAACAATTAAATACTGTTGTGTGCCACTTATGTCAACTCCTATTTACAAATATTGGTCGTTGTTGTAAATTGTGATAAGTTGGTTCAACAGGTTCAGTTCAATCTTGAGCTGTCAGAGAAGGAGCGCAGTGACAGGGCAAATGTTGTTCTTCCTTTTGAACATCAAGGTAAATTTTATGAAGTCAAGTTATTTCTGAGTAGCGTCAGTTTAAGGTTGCGTTTTGATTCTGGGAAGTGCATTGCATCTGGAACTTGACTTTCCCACATTTTATCTCAGGAAGTGGCGAACCAATTCGTATATATGATGGTCGCCGGTCCCTACCTGAGGCTCAACGTGACCTGAGCTTAACCGCACCGGCCCTTGTGGATGAAATAAAAGCTCCCAAATCTGGAACTGCAAAGGGTGAAATACATTACTTCCGTGATTCAGATGACGAGCAACCTGACTCAGATGAAGACCCAGATGATGATTTGGACATATAAGTGTGAGTGTAGGTGCTCTTTACTTTAGTAGGTGGCATGCGCAGATGAACTTTAAGGTATAGGTTTGGACATATAAGTATGAGCGTCGAGAGTTGCTATCTTGTAGGTTAGTCTTTTGTTTAGCACTTCCATGCTTTACCTTGTCAATCGTAGTTGCACAAACCTTGAAGCACTAACATTAATGAATTGTATTACTTACTTTAGAGTATGTTTGCACAAATCAACCTTGCTAAAGTTTTGATAAAACCCAAAGAATTTGGTGTTTATATATGTTTTCCTTTCCGTTCTTGGCCACGTTGTAGGTAGTAGAAACCTTAGCCAACACTTTTTACTAGATGAAGTTTGATAGACTAGTTTGTCCAGCAAACAAAAAAGAAATCATAAATGACGTGTAGGGGCATTGGCTATGTTTCACAACCCCCCCCTCTCCTTTTTTCTTAAACTGATTTGTTATGAGAGAAAAACGTTGTTCGTTCGTTGAAAAGTACTATGAAGTAGTTCAAGCGAACAGGGCCTATAGTTAAGGCTGAAGTACACAATAAAAATAATTTGTGTGCATAATTCAGAATTAATGAGTTGTTATATTTTAATGATAGGACGATTTTGTTGAAAGGAAATCTTACATATGAGCTTCAAATGCTCTGATCTCACTGTAACGTGGCTGGCTGTCTTAAGAAACTCTTCACGAAATGTAGGCACAACTATTTGGATTTTGGATTAAAAAAAGATCTCATGTATGTATATAGAAAAACAAATTGGAATGTTACAATTAGCGACACCGACATACAAATTGGAATGTTACAGTTAGCGACACCGACATGTTGTGTGGTAGTACTCTTAACCAGTTAGCTAGGCTTTTATGGCGGCCTCCGATTTGGAGTCGAGGTCCACCGTCTGCACGATGGGCTCCTTGAGCGACTCGTGCTTGACGGTGACCTGGTACTCGCCGTGGAAGAGCTCGGCCTCGAACACACCCTTGCTGTCCGTCTTGGGCTTCTCGGGCACTTTCCTCCACTCGTCCAGGAGCTTGTCAACGACGTCCCCCTGCGGCAGGTTCTTGAAGTTGTTGTCGGTGAGGCACATGACGTAGCAGCCCTTGGCGTGCCAGGCCGCCCACATGACGATGCCCTTGACGCCCGGGTGGCCGAACCCCTCCCTCATCACCTCCTCCAGGAACTCCACCTGCTTGGGCCCCTTGGTGACGTCCACCTCAGTGAGCCAGATGGGCACCTTGGCCGCCGCGAGCGTGTCCAGGGAGCCCCTCATGTAGGGGATGTTGGGCTTGTCGAAGTGGCTCTCCAGGCCGATGCCGTACTTGAGGTCCTCGTTGCCCGGGTACGACTGGATCTGCCTCAGCTTGGCCAGGTACTTGGTCGGCAGCGGCGCCAGGTCGCAGGGCTGCTCGATGGTGTTGAACTCGTTCATGAACAGGATGGGCTTGCTGTCAAGCTTGGCCACCTCCTTGAAGATCTCCCCGGACGCGTCCTTGCCGAGCTTGTCCTCGAAGAAGCTGAAGTGGAGGTTCTCGTTCACCACGTCCCAGTGGATGACCTTGCCGGCGTAGCGGGAGACGACGCTCTTGAGGTGCTTGGCCACGGCGACCTTGAGCTTGTCCACGCTGAGCTTGCTCACCCACGGCATCTGGTGGCTCTGGTCGTCCCAGAACACGTTGTGGCCGCGCACCGAGATGTTGTGCTTCTCCGCCAGCGCCAGCATCTTGTCCGCCACCTCAAACCCTTCCTGCCCCTCGTTGTACTCCGTGCTGTACCACTTCATCTCGTTCTCCATCGTCGCCCACTTGAACCGCTTCGTGAACCACTCCTCGTACTCGGGCATGTCCAGGATCTCCTTGGTCATGGCGTTGCCCAGGGGGAAGCCCTTGGCCACCCACTCCACAGACAGCTCCGCGTCCGGCAACGGCTTGCCACCGCACTCCACCGTGATCTTCACCTTCTTCTTGCGCTCCTGCATTGGAATTGGAATTATATTCCAACGGTTAACGAGACCGGACCGTTGATATATTCCACTGGCATTTTGGCATTGGGTGGAGAACCGCATTACCTTGGCGACGACTTCATCGCGGTGAGCGTTCCATTCTTCAAAGCTGAAGCCCTGCAGCGCTATGCTCTCCGCCATGATCTCCGCGGTTGAGTTGCTCTGCACGCATTGTTAGCTTCCATATATCAGTTCTTCTTTCATCCACGTCTCATTGGACTGATTAACTCCCTTTCATAATTTGCAAAGATTATCCTGCCACCTATTACATTACCTGGAAGAAGAGATCGCCCTTGCCTTCGGCGAAGGAGGTGGCTCCACCCTTGAGCAAGGTCCAGCAGCCGGACTGGGCCACGATCGCGCCGGCGGTGTTGAACTTGCCGTCGGGCGTCACGATTATGGCAGTGATGTCGCCGGTGCCCTTGGAAAACTTGAGCCAAACTGGGAGCACACGCACACAACGTCTGTCCGTTTAGCTGCATTGTCCTCGACGCCTGGTGGTCGACTGATCACAAAGATCTCGGGAGGAATGAATTGGACAATATATATGAGTGCCGATTACCGGAGAGTGCGTAGTGGTGGTCCTTCTTGAGCTCGACCTTGAGGACGGAGTTCTTGATAGGGCACTTTTTGCCACTGGAGTCGGCGGCGCTGATGATGCCGCCTCCATACAGAGGTTTCTCCGGCTCCTTGATGCACTGCAAGCAACGGCGTCGAGCAGGGCCGGTCAGTTGCGGACCAGGGCATATAAGTGCTGATGGAAACGACTCCACAACTCACATGGTGGGAAGGTTTTTACTAGGGGCATATAAGTGCTGCTTACCTCAATGTTTGCTGAGTAGTCATAGGGGACCTTTCCTGATGATTTCTTTGAGGAATCGTCGGCCTTTTCTGATGTTTCCTTGGAGGAATAGCCATCGCCCTTTTCTGATGGCTGTTCTGAAGAATAGCCCTTTTTTGAAGTGACCAAGGATCCTGCGTCGAGAGAAGAGATGGTTATGCATCACAGCATCAGAACTTTTGTGTGTGTGTGTGTGTGGGGGGTGATGTCAGCATCAGAACTTTTGATCTTGCACATACAGAACAGCCATCGATGCTATGGTTTTTCAGTCGACCAACTTTATCCGTTGTTTGTCTATAAGAATCCTCTAAAGTGAAATTGTTATGTCCGGAGTTTGTACCGTAGGTTAATTAGAGTTTTCCCACTAATGTAATATTGTAAAAATCAATATGTTCCTTATGCTTATACATATTGATTGAGTCAGTAATTTTGCTATTACATTTGAAAAAGAAAATGCGGAGTTAAAGCTAATTAGAAAGAACTAACCTTCAAATAGCACGATCAACAAGATCAAGACCAACTTTCCTGTGGAAATCATCATATTTGTTTTGACGCTCTACGATGCGCACCATAGACTTTGAAAGGTTTCTGTTTATATAGTAGCTTTTAGAAGAGAGAACAACGGGGGACCAAAGAGCTATATTTGGTCTAACTTTTGTTCAAGATTCAAATGTAAGAAGCTGGGATAAAAATAGTAGGAAGGCCGTTTCACATATAGGGAGGGTAACATTAGTCCTAGGTAACGCATGCCCAGCCCCACATAACCAGCAAAAGGAGAGCATTGCATGCACTATTCAAGGTAATGCACGTTGTTGGGAACAATTGCATACATCAGCTTATCTGTATTGCTACAATGCTACTCTGTCTCTCTCCATCATAAATACTACTCCGTGCTTGTGTTTGGACAAGTTTTGTTCAAACATTTGAAACTTTAACTGTTACTTACTTTTATGATAATTAGGGCCAAAAAAGTCATATGGCAACTCCAAATAGTAATGCCGTTGCAGAGTATCCTCCTACTAGTAGGCAAGTGGCAGCACTAAATGTCATTGGTAATGTCTGTTCTTGTACGATTGGTGTCCACAGGCACAGGGGATGAGATAGAAGGATGTTTAGTATATGTATATTGAAGAACAAATCGAATTCCTCCTTTGTTTTATATGAACATCACATGGATCGCCTCACCAGGAATTCTATCTCTCGGGCGCCCTATATATGTATTTGTATGTATATGACTGACTGACGACATCACAAACCACAATACCCTAGAATCTAGACCCACAATCATGCACATGCACATGTGTATGCGTATATCAATCCCCTCCCCTCCTAGTAGGAGTACTAGGAAGGAGGCTACGTATATAGGAGCTAAGGCAGCTAGACGTGTATGGTGTACTCGCTATCGGTGTCGGTCTCCCTGTCGACGCTCAGGCTCTGCACCACGGTGGAGTTGGCCACCGGGTGGCTGACGGTGACCTTGTAGTCCCCGTGGAACAGCTCGGCCTCGTAGTATCCGTCAGCGTCCGCCACCCCGGCGTGCGAGTGCGTCTTCCACTCCGCGATGAGCTTGTCGACGACGTCGCCGGTGGGTAGGTTCCTGAAGTTGCTGTCGGTGAGGCACATGACGTAGCAGCCCTGCGGGTGGCGCGCCGTCCAGAGGATGATGCCGTGCACGGCCGGGTGCGCGTACACCTCCCTGAGTATCTGCTCCAGGTAGTGCGCCTGGTTGGGCCCCGGCGCGACGTCGATCTCGGTGAGCCAGATGGGCGCGTTGGCCTTGGACATGGTGTCGAGCGCGGCGCGGATGTAGGGGATGCTGGGCACGGAGAAGTGGCCCTCGAGGCCGATGGCCATCCTGGCGTCGTTGGTGTTGCCCGGGAACTTCTTGATCTGGAACAGCTTGCCCAGGTACTTGCTCGGCCCGGCCATCGGGTCGCCGGGCCACTCCAGCGTGTTGTACTCGTTCATGGACATGAGCGCCTGCGCGTCCAGCTGGTGCGCCTTGCGGTAGAACTCCGCCGACGCGTCCCACCCGAACTTGTTCTCGAAGAAGTTGAAGTGCAGGTTCTCGTTCACCACGTCCCACGCGATCACCTGCCCGGCGTACCGCGACATCACCGACTTGATCCGCCGCGCCGTCGCCTGCTGGAGCTGCTGGTACGACAGCGACCGCACCCAGGACGGCTGCTGGCTCGGCTGGTCCCAGAACACGTTGTGGCCGCGCACCGCGATGCCGTGGCTCTTGGCGAACCTCAGCATCGCGTCGGGGACCGAGTAGTCCTCGCGCCCCTGCACTTGCTCCGTGCTGTACCACTTCATCTCGTTCTCGAACGTGGTCACCGTGAACCGCGACGTGAACCACCGCTGGTACGCCGGGCTCTGCAGGATCTCCGCGCTCATGGCCGACCCCAGCGGGAAGCCGTTCCGGACGTGCTCGATGCGCACCTGCGCGCCCGGCACGGGCTTGCCGGAGGAGTCCCTGGCGCGGAGCCGCACAGTCTTCTTGCGCGCCGACTTGATGGCCGCGTGGTGGTGCGCCGCCCACTCCTCTCGGGAGAAGGGCTGCAGCGAGACGTTGTCCACCCATATGTCCACCGTCGTCGTGTTGCTCTGCATCCGGCGGGACCAAGTTCTTGTCAGTTGTAAGAACAGAGCATAGCCTGACATTAACAGCTTCTCTTCTTGCAGCGATCATGCAATGCAACGCGGCAGGCTTGTGCGTTTAGTTTACCTCGAAGTAGAGTTCTGCCGACCCGGAGGCGGGGGCGGTGAGGCCGCCTTTGAGAATGGACCAGCAGCCGGACCGCGCTTCGACGCCGCCGGCGTGGATGAAGTCGCCGTTGGTCTTCACCACAGCTCTGATATCGGCGCTACCATTGCTGACCTGCAACCAAGCTGCATATACCAGTACCAGAAGAAAAAACACAAACTTGTTAATAAGCTGATAATTCATCGCTGCTGCGACCAATTTTTCTTCCCCGGAGGCCGGAGCTCACTGACCTGACAGAGTGTAGTGCGTATCGTTCTGCAGGTACACCTTCTGGCTGACGCTCTGGTACGGCCGGGTGCGGTTCCGCGCCACGCCGTAGCTGTTGCCGCTCGCTGACAAGCCTTCCTCGATGGCGCCGTACCCGAACGACGACCAGCCCTGGAGGCCCGCGCTGAAGTTGGCGTTCCGGAGGATGCCGCCGCCGTACTGCGGCTCCAGCGGCTCCGGCAAGCACTGCGCCCACACGTTTCGCAGCGCGATGTTCAGGTCAACACAAGTTTCACCATCCGTATAACAGAAACGTTACAATTTTTTTTTTTTTTGAATGGCAGTAAAGTCACCCTGGACAGTAAGATGAGTGTAGTATAACTGTCAAAAGTGCCGGGCCTGTCAAGATCCCAGTAAAAGCCGTTGAAAAGTTTGTGTACGGTAACTAACCGTGGACTAAAGTAGACTATTAGGATGCTACTGCGCACATGCCAGATTTTGTTTGGTGCACTGTCACTCATTTGCAGCCCCAAATATAGCTACTGATCTATTTCAACTTTTCCTTTGGATTATTTGACTACAAGTCAACCAGTACTAGAAGCACATGTACATACATACTGTTTGACTCCCCTGCAAAAGTCCAAGTGATCGCGTATCTAACTGACGGCCTAACATAGGACTAACGAACGAAAACACGTTCTACTTGGCACAAGAAACTTTTTTTTGACTGAACACAAGAAACAATTGAGGTGGCTGACTGTGAAACCAAATTGTGGTGTGCAGAATAACTGAAAGCAAGTCACTTTTAGGCCCTTGTTTGGAAGCCCCTGACTTTCCTATCCCGCCCTGGACGGATTCACACACGAGTAGACCCCTTTTTTTGGGGGGGTCCCTCATTTTAAGTTTTATTAACCGAGAGCGAGCGAGCCGATTGATTAATGATAAAAAATATCTTCACCAGCCAAATTAACCTGAATAGGTTAAGCTGCCGGTGAGGATCAGTGATCTGTCCAATAAGCTAGCCTCAGTGGTGGCGTGCATGAGCATGATGATCCGGTGCGTGGCAGACACTGGGGCACACACGCCCCCTCCCCTGCTTGGCGTGCACTAGAATTGCAAGCGAAAAAGGGCTCTGGTTTTTTACCGTGTTGACATGTCATGAGGCACACGCCGATATACAAATATAATAAAGATGTGTTGACACACAGAAACAACAGTCAGGTAGTCAGCAAAGATAGTTGTATGTGCGTGCACATAGGCTGCTGATTGCGGCACACCGATTAGTGGGTTGGTTTTTGGTTGCTAACTTGCTATATATAATAAGTGGGAGCCTGGGGGGTCGGCGCGTTGCATGATTATGAGTCGGACGCATTTGGGGGTATCGGCTAACTTTTCCAAGTAATTTTCAGTTTTGATGATCTGATGACATATACAGAGCTGGATGATCGGACCGGGTCAAGAACTCAAAAACGAGATGGGCATGGCATGTGGTTAGGCACCTGGCCAACTTACTCTGTTCTTGTTGAAAAAATATTTGGTCCTGTTCGATCGGGGAGGGAAAATTTGGCAGAATGGCTGTGAATTCTTGTTGCTCCTACTTGTTCGGTCCATCTGCGCCTACCCATGATCGATGTGCGTGCATGCTACCCGATCAAAAGGGGTAGACTATTGCGCCTGAAATATATTACTAGTAAATGAACCAAAAAGCTACAGACACTTCTTGTATATATGAACGAGGTGTAACCTTTCCTGTCCTGTGTTCACATGGCCGATAGACTGGGCCTAATTAAAGAAAGTTCGCATGATGATTCTATTATCACTAATATAATACATTTAATCTGTGACCTGCGCGCGTGCCTACATACGCGACATGTCAAAATCCCGTCCGTCGCTAGTGAGTGATGTGAGTGCCTCATCAGTGGACTCCGACCGGCACGGGAGGAGGCGAAACCAGCAAGCAGCAGGCTAGGCAAGTATTCTTGTGTTGTGTGCGCAGCTAGTGCACGAAATGGACCACGCACACGCATGTCACCTGTCAGTTACATGTCGCGCGCGCGCGCGCCGCCGGCGACAGGCAACTAACGACGGCCGGTGTTAACCGCGCCGCCCCTGCGCACGCACGCACGCGCTTAGTATATGTACTTGTATGTGCAAGTAGCAGACTGCTGCCAGCATGCTACAGTCTTTTTTCTTTTTTGAAAGAATACATTCATAGCGTCAGGCAGGGATAGGATGCGTGACATGCGCAATGCGATGATGTGAAGCTGATGGTGGCTCTGATGGATCCATGCAGCACGGTAACAAAGTTCGGCAGCAGGGCACGTCACAGGTATGGATGGACGATGAGCTAGCTACTAGCTTAGAGAGGGAAGAGAGGGAGAGAGGTTGGTTAGGCATGCATACCTCAGAGCTGGACGAGTAGTCGTAAGGAAGAGATTGCACCACGCGAGCAGCTGCGAGAGGAGAGGAGAGGAGAGGAACCAATACGATTGTCTCAGACTCAACTGATGAACGAGAAAATGATGAATCTAGAACAAATTGAAGAAGAGCCTAGCTAGCTAGCGAATGGCAGCTAGCTCGAGCTTTACCACTCAGCATGGCGACCCACAGCAGCGACAGGAACAAGCAGGCCCTCCCCATTGCTGGAACCCCCCTCTCTTCCATTCTCTCTGTGTACTGAGATGGCCGAATGAAGAGGCAGAGAGAGATGCTGGAGAGAGGGAGAAGGAGGAGGCTGCTAGGCTAGCTAAGCTGCTGATTGCACCGTGCATGCCGCAGCATCTGCTTGGGCTATTTATAGAGGTTTGTTGGGTAGCTTCCCGCCTTGCCCCACTGCACCACCGCGGCCGGCCGGTAGCTTGTGGCCTAGCGTTAGCGTGGAATAGGAGTTGCTTGGTTCCCGCTTCCCGCTGCTGGTTACTCCGTAGTTATGTTCAAACGGCCGATGGGAGAAAATATACGTAAATGGTCTTGGGCCGTGTGGTGTGATTTCTTCCTTTTGCGCGCGCGCGCATGGGGTCCTTCAAAACCAATCGCTACGGCTCTACCGGTCCGCGCTGTGTGCGCTCTAGAGCTTCCTTTTTTACCCCGTTTCGTCACTCGTCTCCACTGACGAGGACCTCCCGCCGCGGGTCCACCGGGCTATCGGTATAACCGAATTTTGACGTCATTATTGTTCCATTTCATTCATCCAAACAGGGTTCAGTATGTATATGATCTCAAAATAGAAGTCGTTTGATGATTCAAAATTTGTCTCAGAATGGTAGACGTTATAGCCCAGCGTATGTGTCTAATCCTGACACGCCATACTGTCAAACGTTAGTTCGCTTAGCCTGAAGAAGCATAAAAAATACAAAAGAATCTACCGATGACGTTCACGAGTGTAGAGAGTTGAATAAACAATGTTTCCTGGCCGGAGCGCAGCTCCCAACCTCCATCGCAGTATGCCGCCGTCAGGGGCAGTGATTCCTTTACAGGGTTATTTGAGTATTTTCGCTTTTACATTGGTCTTCGGGACAAGCTCTTAGACGTCTTTTAATCTGACACAGAGGGAGTACGTGATTTAAGACCCATTTGTCACGGCTCATCTAAAACGACTTTATCGCTGAAATCAAAACCGGTGAAATCAAAAAAATTAGTTTTTTTCGGCTTCTAGTTTATTTTAATCCTGGCTTACAAAACAGCTTCACGCTACAGTGCCTCGATTTACGCAAAATAGATAAAGCCGAAGGCGGCATAAGCCATGCCAAAGAGACCCTAGTCCCTCTTTCCAAGTCGTAGCTTTTCCAGAAACACCTCTCACAGAAGTTTTCTGATAAAACTATAGGAAGGTGCTTTCAGGGAGTTTCTCTAATTCTAGTACGAAGTATAGTTTCTGAATTTTTTTGTCTACTTGAAGAAGAAAACCTGTTTGGAGGAGCTTTTAGTCTCCTTAGATTTCTAAGGAAAGAAAAACTGCCAAAAGCTTCCTAAACATGACCTTAGTTTTCTGGATGGTACAGTTAAGCAAGCAGTTATCCACTCGCTAGTTCTGGATCGCCTCGTTCGTTAGTTCATTAATTATCATCTCATTTTGGATTGATGAAAAAATGCACATGCTTCCCTACTTGTAGAAATTATTATAGCAATTCTAGCACGAGCCTTCAAATCAGAATCCCTACTTTCGATTTAAGAGCCATGGTCGCACTCGTCATTTACTTCCCCCTCTTTCCTCTATCTTTTTCACCCGATGGCCCTGTCACTGTGCCTAGGCTCCCCAATTCTTGCCATTGCTACACTGCTTGTTCAGAGGGAGGGAGGGCGCCGCGCCACATCTAGGATGGCCGCTCGCGTCATGAGAGAGGCGGTGGAGAGGGGCGCCACGGCATGCCGGGACCATCACCGGCTATGGGATGCCCACTATGGATGGATGCCCGCTCTAGTGAGGGTTGCTCGCTACGAAAGGAGGGGGCGGCGAGCAGGGGCACATCGGGTAGGGGCTGTGAGGGGGAGGGAAGAAAAGAGTGGGCGCGGGAGCAATAAAAATGGCCAATTGTTCGATAGGGTCCACGATCGATGCTCAACTAAAGTTGATCCAATAACTCTTAGCTAGTTGATTTTAAGTCTGCCAGCCTCTGTTTTCTTGTCCTTTAAACTATTGAGCCAAGGAATAATCCGTCTATTTATTTATTTTCAAAAACGAACGAATTTAGATGACTTGTGACCGCTTTCACGGCGCCCAAGTCGATATGTGCATACGTCATCATCACGGCCGGGGGGTCGGGGGTCAAACGGAAAGGCGTGAGCCGGCGGTTAGCAAGCAAGCAGCCAAGCACTGTGGAAAACCCGCGAGGCCGGGCAACGACGGTATGCTGACGACGGGCTGAGCGTTGTCATCCAACATTCGCACGCATCGGCCAAGCCACCCGTCCGCCCCCTCCACGTACGCTACGCCACACCACGGGGGCATGGGTCATGGGTGCGTGGCCTCCTGGCTCTTGGCAGCGAGCGGCTCTCGTTCTCGTCGTCTCCCCGGGCGTGGAGGAGTGCCGTGGGGGCAAGACCGCAGAAGCGGGCGCTGGCAAGCCAGGCAACGCAAGCGGGCCAGGCCTGCGGTTTCGACGCTTGAGCTCAGCTCAGCTCGGGACGTTGGTTACTCGGCAACGGGGTGAGCGAGATGCATTAAGAAACTTCATCTTGCTTGTGATGCTAGGGCCAGTTTAGTTCCCTAAAATTTTTGTCAAATACATGAAATCTAAAATGGAGTAGCAGCACACCAAAATACTGACACCAAAAGTTTTTGCATTTTGCTGTTTACTTGCCAAGAATTTTGCATCGATATCAGCAATGAATAGTAGATTTCGGTTGCATTAAATGTGTTCCATGCAAACTGCTGGTGCAGACTGAATCAAACTGGTTGCATGCAGATTTTTGAAAAGAATTTTCTCATTCATCAATTATTCAAACACATAATGAACAGACTTTTCTCATGCAACATTCACAACAATTATTCATTCCTATTACATCACAGACTGCTCAAGCATTCACAAAAGCCGTAACACACTGTACTATAGAAACATGTAATGAACCACACAACTGTCAATTAAGATCCATCAGAGCATTAGCAAGCGAATCACGGATGGCATTCATGCATGACCACTCCTCATCCTCCACTACCTCGGGTTCGGGTTGATTTTGATAAGCTTGTCTAGGCACAAAGTTCTCATTTCGGTCACACCTACCGAAATGCTTATCTGCTAAGCCACTAGTCCTCACAAAATTATGAAGAGCCATACATGCACAAATGATTTGGGCTTGCTTCTCAGGTGAATAAGGAGGGATCTTTTGCAAGATCCGCCACTTCATTTTCAGTACCCCGAATGACCTCTCAATAACATTCATAAGAGAAGAGCGTGTGTAATTGAAGAGCTCTTCTTTACCCTATGGCTCGGGCCCGTCGCGGAAGTCCTGGAGATGGTACTTGCTTTCCTTGTATGGAGCAAGATAACCCAGCCGGTTAGGATACCCGGAGTCCACTAGATAGTATTTGCCTACAGCAGCAAACAAATTATGAGCGACAGGTACATAACCAACAAGGAACAATTGCACTCATGTGTACCTACGTACCATTTGGTGGATGTGGAAAGACTGCGGAGTATGTTGTTGTAGAATCATTGAACACTCTCATGTCATGAACAGATCCAAGCCAGCCAGCATTAACAAATGTAAACCTCATGTCGAAGTCACAACAGGCCATTACATTTTGTGTAGTGATGCTCTTGCGGCACAAGTGCTGAATAAACAAATGGTTTGGCACGACACAAGGGATATGAGTCCCATCTATAGCCCCTATGCAGTTCTTGAAGTAGGGATAAAATCTACTACTTTTTAGTGCAGGATGCATTGTTCTGAACTGTGGATCTACTGGTTTAATATTGTCTACAGCAAGCCTGACCATACACCTCAAAACTTTACTAAACATTGTTGAAACAGTGCCCAATGACCTCTCAAACTTGTCCTCTGCTTGCCTAACAGACTGTGGTGCTCCTACCATCCAAAGAAACATTCATAAAGCCTCAACAGATGTGGACTTAGTGGTAGACTTGAGCCCATATTTGTCCACTAACGTTATGAAGGCTATAGAACATTGTTGGGGTCATTCTAAATATGTTGTGACAAGAATTAATGTTGGCAAGCTTATCATGCACCCACTGGAAACCACTCACTCTTGGAGTCCTATACTGAGCCCTATTCATATACTTGCCAATGTGCACAGCAAACTGGTACATACCATGGAGAAACTCATCATCCTCGTCATCAGTCATTAGCTCTTCGATCAAATCATCATCATCATCATCATCCAATATCATCTGCAGCAACTGTTGTCTTCTTGTATCTTGATCATCATCACCAACCTGTCATGGACAGAGACAAGAGCAAGTCAGTCATTTGATCAAACAGTCCATGAATCCCATGCATCACTCCCTGCCATCCCACATGATCAAGTTTTAAAACAGCACATATATCCATTCCACAAGTTAATATAGAAAAACAGCAAATAAACCCATCGTACTGCATAACAAGTTCAAATTTAACTGACACATCACAACAGGACACAACAAGTTCCTACGCCCTGCACCAAATGCCCTACATGCAAATAAGGCTAAGTTTTCTAGTTGTCCACCGGAACAGGCTGCGGGATATTCAGCTCGATGACGTGCATCTTCCCTTCCTTAGTGTCTTGGGCAAGGAAGAAGTCCATTTCAGTTTCTGATTGCACTAGCTTGTGCAACCCAGAAAACAAAGTCTTCGTTGTACTACTAATGCCCAGCTCTTGTAGAGCTATCCTGGTGCACTCTGTTATCTTCCAGGACTTGTCCTTAACTAATCTCTGCAGCACTTCCTCCCTTCTGCTCTCTCTATCCTTGAAGAACTGTAGCCTCTCTCTGCTTAAGTCATTGTGTGTGGTCATTTGGATGGTCATTGCCCTCACTGCTGGGCTCTTTGACCTCTTGCTGGGGCTGGATGCAGTTGTGCTTGTACTGCTGGTCCTCTTGTTTCCAACACTCATAGGGGTCAGTTCATCCTCCTGCTCTTGTCCTGCTTCTTCATTAGAATCATCATCATTCAAGTCAATGGTCTCTTTTGCAGCAGGAACAAAGGAGGTTGTCCCATCAACTGTGTTTCCTTTGAACATGCCATGCAGATGGTCCAAGTATGCAGGCACACCTTCCCTTCTAATCTTCAGCAAATCACTGTCACCCTGTACAATATAGACCGATGTAGTTGTCAAGCAATTAGGGAATTAACATTTGTTAATAACAGAGCAACCTATATAACAAATTACCTGAGCATTGTCATTCCACCATTGGTCAGAAGCATGAATCTTTTCATCTGCATCTATATCTAAGCCAGTGTGGTTTTGTGCTTTGTCACACAATGTCCATATTTTCCTGAGTGTCCTCAGCTTGCCTTGAAGCTGTTCTCTGTCATGCATCAAGCCTGATGCTAAATAGTACCTCCGAGCGATGTTCTTCCACCCAAATTTGTTTATCTGTCCTCCTAGACAGTTCCCAGCATGTATCTCGGCAAGGTAGGAGTCACAGAACTTCTCTATGTTGTCTGGTAACCAATTTGCTTTATGCTTCTGAACCTAAACGGTGAAGAGGGACAGCAATATTGAACAATAAACACTGACAAGCTTTAACAATAGACATGCAGCTAAAACTAACAAGCATGCAAGAAAAAAATTAGATTTTCTATCTTGCAACGGAAATTAAATAGGTTATAAGTACTTCGAATACAAAATTTAAATAGAGACAACTAAGAGATATTACTCCAAGTCCAAGATAAGATAAGATAACAAATCTGAGTCATGTTCACTGCCTTTGAACTTGTATGACAAAATCAAGCCTCATAATCGTGGATCCAATTTAAGCGTGAAAGGTACATTTACACCTGCAACAGTTGAGAATAAGCATGATTACACAATGTACTCCACCAAAGCTTATTGATATACTTCTTCAACGCGTAATGAAACGCAAACCTCCCAGGGCCTCTGCGCATCCTTCTGGTACTTATACGACTATTTATAACATCATACTCTACTCCAAAAATATGCCAGACTTTATGTATAGGATATCTTAGAACAATTTTGTATCATTAAGTACATCATAAACTATATTTTCATGGTATGCTTATTTGGTATCACAGATATTTGTGCTTTTTATATAAATCCAGTTGAACATAAAAAAGTTTGACTTAGGACAATTCTAGGAATTGGTTTATTCATGGACAGAGAGAATAGTTTTTAAGGTTTTGAGTAAATCCTATGTTAAACGATATGTTGTTGATAAGTGAGAGTAGATTGCTACCCTCATTTCATAACTTTATGCCAAACCTACGAGGCAGGTACTGGCGCAGATCGTAAGCGTACAACGTAGCACACTTGGTTGCGTTTAGGATTGCAAATGCTATAAGATAAACATGATCATTATTGTCATAGTTTTTTTTTTGGTTGGCAATCAAGTCGTGTCGCAGTTTACAGACATTTATGAAACAGAAACATAAGAGGTGATTAGGCGAAGCTCTTATTGCGTGCTTATTTGTTGCTAAAGTTAGCAGTAAATGAAGTCCATCAGCCATGCAAAAAAAACTAATCAAAGAATAAATTAATCAGAGTAATTTATGAGCATTCATGCAAGGAAAGAGAGACTAATATGCAAAGAAAGATATATTTATAGAAGAAAAGAAAAGTTCAATCAATTATGCAAGGAAACTAATAATAAGCTAAAAGAGTTCAATCACAAATTATATGGGCTTGTTTGGAACGTAGGAATTTCATGGAAATTACGTAGTAATTTCACATGAATCGATCCATTTTGACAGGAAAAATGCACTAACAGGAAAAAAAAAACGTGTTCTAAATAGTGCCTTCATTGAGAACCTGAAAGGACGCGCGAAAGCTAAATAAAAATTGTGTCGCTTAGGACGTGATTGACAGAAGCTTAGTGTGACAGGATTGAGCGGGCCTGTCTTCTCCTGAATAGCCTACTCCGACACTTGTCCCCTGCAAATTGGCAAGCGGATCCGTGCGGGCGAGGAATTCCGGCCCCGTTGGCATCATCCCGTGCGGTTGCGCAACCGCGCGCCGCTGACTTCCTCCGTGCATTGTGCGCACGTGACGCCCGCCCGCATGACGACACGGCTGCGGCCGGGTCCGGCTTGGGATTTTGGATGGACGCATCCATCCATCCATCCATCCGTGGCCGTTATGTTCGGTATGCCGGCGTTGGACGGGAGCGGCGCGGGCGCCGAGCACACGGCAGGTGGGCAGCCAGCGCCCAGCGGCGTCGTGACGAAATCTACGGGGCCGACCCGTGACTTCCAACGGAACCGGCAGGTAGTGGAAACGCCCCGGCCACGGACGCCTTTTGGACCGGGGAGATCGAGGCGGCATGGGTCGCTGCTGCGCGGGCGCGGTCGTACGCCGGCCGGCGAAGTGGCGAGGTCCAAGTCGAACCCGGCAAGCCATCCAGACCCGAGCAATAGCGTGCATGGGTTTGATTTTGATCGGTCAGGCTCAGGCAGGCCGTGAGCCACTGCCCAAAAACCCACCCTGCCAAATCTCTTGGAATTGACCGTACCTCTCTGGAGTCCGGGCATGTTCGTTTCTCTTATAATTCGTTTTTTTCAGTTTATTTTTTAGTTGGAATAATTTTTTTCTCTTCACAACAAATCAGAGGGAACAATGTTTCGATTTGTTTTTTCAACGAAGCGAACGGGACCACACCCCCATGACGGTTTACGTTAAGTATGTACGAGGACTAGTGACTGCTCAGGTTAGTGATTGGCCAGGCTAATCATCGGCTGATGAGACTGTATGCCGGTATAGCATAGCAGTACTCAGCTGAAGCCGTCACGTATCTGCTGACGCAAACCACACGCCCAGGACGGTTAAGCATCGGATAATCACACCGTATGCTGTATGCCGTATGCCGTACGCCGTACGCCGTACGCCGAATGCCGTATAGCAGTATACCAGTTCTTATCGAATTTTTTCTCTCCCTGTGCTGTGCTGTTCAGCTGCTAGCTCGTTCCACTATCCCAGCCAGGGGCGTCCACCTAACACTTGGCGTGATTAGCGACTGGATTATTTTGATGCATGCGAGGTGGTCAGCTCCGGCACGTGCCTGATTTGATTTAAGCGCCGGTTAGTGCGGATCGAGCGAAAAAAGAGAGCAGAAAAAATGAGAGAAGGGATTCGGCACTTCGGCTAGGTGGTCAATCGATTTGATTTAACTCGTCCGTTCTGTTTTTTTTGTCCTGCTGCGACTTGGACCAAATCAAAATCGCCCTGGGACAGTTTTAGTTCGTCGACCGATGAAGTTGACCTGGGTGAGCTCCCCGCATTGTTTACCGCCGCAACTTCTCCCGTCCTCCGTACTCCGGAGACTGTAGACAGAGTGTGACAGACGCATACACCGTCGCCTACGCCGTACATGGACATGCATGCACGTGCTGCCTCAGCCCTCACTACCGTCTGACACAGGATTCAAAGGGCGGAGGAGGAAGAAGGCCGGACCGCGGACGATTCTCTCCGTCGTTTCCTTGTGCTGATGCTTGATGGAATGATGGTTAGGTAACTTCGGCTGCACACGGACTTAGGCCTTGTTTTTGTTGGCGATTTTTTTTGAAAGAGTAGTGTAGCACTTTTGTTGTTATTTGGCAATTAGTGTTCGATCATAGTCTAATTAGGCTTAAAAGATTCGTCTCGTGAATTTCGTCTAAACTATGTAATTAGTTTTATTTTTTATTTATATTTAATGCTTCATGCATGCGTCCAAAGATTCGATGTGACGGAGAATCTTAAAAATTTTTGCAAAATTTTAGGAACTAAACATGCACTTACTAAAAACCGTGAAGTGAATGTGAATTCTGCCCTAACCTCACCATCCACCACCCAAGTTTTTCTGTGACTCGCCTTTTCTTTTCTCCCTCCTACTAGACCCTACCTATCTATTAGGAGAAAAGTGGTCAGAACCCAGAACCCGGATGTTCAGCTTCAGAGTATGTACGCCATGACTTGGAACCTCAGACTCAGACTCGAAGCCGACAGGAAGCAGCAGCCAGTCGGCGTAGCGAGTGAGTGGGGAGCCCACTGGCCAGTGGGACGGTCTATCCAAAGCAGTACATGCAACTTGCAGCTTTTCACGTAATCAGAGTACATGCTGCCTAAGCCCTGTGGAAATGGTTGCAATTCTGTCCAATGGAATGCGTCGTTGCCTCTCCAAGCTCCATCGGTCAGAACCGAGGTCAGGTGCTGGTCGGCCGTATTGGCACTGGCACCTCATGTCAGTCGTTCATTTCCGGCTGCTTCGCGGCTCCTCCCAGTATCAGCACTGTGTGGTGTGGCTCTTTGGATGATATGATCAGGATGGCTGATTGTGTGCCCATGGAGGGGGAAAAAGACCGACAAGATCAATGAAGATATGAATATAACAGTCACTGAGAAGTAATCCTAAAAAAAAATCAATCACTGAGAAGTTACTCCCTCTATTCCAAATTGTAGTTGCTTTAATTTTTTTTACATCTATTTTGCTATGATCTAGATATAATATGTCTAAATATATAACAAAATAGATGAATTAAAAAAATCAAAGTAACTTATAATTTGAAACGGAGGGCTTCCTGTGGGTAAAAAGAAAGAAAAAGCATATAGTAAGACAAAATGGCAGTCTTTTCTGTGGAAGGGTTTATAAACCCGTTCCTACTGACTCAGAAACTGCAACCAATGAAAGAGGCAGCACAAGCCAAAAGGTATGAATTCAATGGGAGGCGTTACAATGTTCCTCGGTTTTTATTCCAAGAGGAAACAAGTGATATACAAATTACACAATTTATTCGTATTTACTTGTAACAAATACATTGCCAACAGTGAACCCAACTCGCAAGCACAGAACAACTACCCAAATTCACACGAACGGTTAACGCGACTTAACCGAATGCATCCTGAATTGCTGGTGCAGATAAATCGCAGCTATGCAAGCAAATACACACGAAACAAATATCATCAACAATGAAACGAATGAATCTGTATCCGTTTCTAAACGAACCGCATCTCTGTTACTTGCTACGTGTCGATGTCTTTTATTCATGACCAACAGATCATATTGTGTCCACAAGTAACGGACACACAAGAATCAGAACAATCTTCTCAAATGTGTGCTAAGCTTGCAAATATCCGTTCTCTTCAAGGTAGCATAGAACTTGCTTGGCCATTGCTTTGGGTGAAGGGCATTCCCCATCTTTCATCGTAATTACTATCTGTATAAGACCGCACAAAGATCAAACCAGCTTTTCAAAACAAATGGTTAAATTTGCATTTAAATAGGGCAATAGAGGTAAAGGGTTATGGTCGACTGCTGAACGATGACCATAGCTATTTTTTTATTAAATGAAATGAGCAAGTCAAACTTAATATGGAAAACATATCTAAAATATAAGAAAATATTTCTTTTGTTTCTAAAGCTGCTAATCAGAATCCAGACGTATGTATGGCATTCCCAAATTGCATGAACTAAACTCATAGCTAACTAGGAATTAGTGTTATTGTCATCAGGCATCAGCTTTAAGTAGTCCATAGTGGAAAATACAAGCTATTGCTTAATTTTAACTTTGTTACATGCTGTTAATTCTTCACTGAATGAGGATCACTGGAGCATAAAGATAGTGATGGAAACAATAAAAAAAATTCTTATAGCTCTATTTCTCAACGTTACGGAATAAGACTGTAGAAAGGAAGTGCTTGTTTGTGCTAAACATCAGTAGTCACAGCATAATGACGTCCGGAAGCACTACATCAATAGTGAGGACTCTATATTTCAGAGTTTCAGTTCTAGAAATTGTACTGTACGGTGTGATCATGTAGGAAGTAAGGCATGCTCTTTAGGCTCACCTCACCATTAACTGGCGGTTCGTATGGATCATCAATTCCAGTGAAACCTGTTTGTCAAATGGAAATGCTTGAAGTCACTTCTTTCACCTGGGGTGTCCCAGAGAGGAAACTTGAATGTCTAGAAAAGGTTCAAAGGCTGACTGTACCTTTAATCTTTCCTGTGCGTGCAAGCTTGTACAGACCTTTAGGATCACGAGCTTCACAAATTTTTAGGGGCAAATCCAAAAATACCTACAGAGCTTGCACGTAGTTAGATAGGCTATTAACACTGACAACTGAAAAGAATCATAAGTGAGCATACTTCAATAAAGTTAGAATCTGGAAGTAGAGCACGGCATGCATCACGATCTCTCCTGTATGGAGATATCAAGCTAGCAATGCATATGATACCAGCATCGGCAAAAAGCTTTGCCACTTCACCTGCACAAAAGATTTAGCTATAGTGAAAGAATCTCTAGTGAATCATCTTCTTTTTTCAGAACTTACCAACTCTTCGTATATTTTCTGCACGGTCTTCTGCCTTAAAGCTTAAATCTCGATTTAGGCCATGTCTAAGGTTGTCACCATCAAGTACATATGTGAGGTGGCCTCTATAATGCAACTCACGACTCAGTGCACATGCAAGAGTACTTTTCCCTGGCATACAAAAAAGATGGCAGGTTATTGTGATGGCTCCCTTATGCTAATATATTTATGAGTCCTGTACTTCTATAGTTCTTGTTAAGTATATGAAGGCCCATCTAATATAGGCCCATGAGGCTCTATATATATAGCTATCTCCACTACTGGAGTGATTATCTTTTCAAATTCCAAAGTATAGATAGAGAATGAAGAAATCAGAAGCTTTGGTTCATGGTAGCCAAACACTGTGACAAGAAAGTGCTATCTTAGACCAACATGCAAATTCTCAAAAGAATGCAAATTCTGAAATAACACTCAGCCACTCAGGAGCTAACTTAGAACAGCATGCGAGGGAAAAGAAACCAGGGTCTGTGTGAACAACATTGCAAACACGGTCAACAGGTATTATGTCAACACTATCCACAATCACTTTGTAGCAGAGGGAGTACTAAAAGAAAATTCGAATTGAAAATGAATCTAGTAGAAGCATCATCACAGTACAGAGCGCAGGACTATTTCCTGCATTGATGCCAATACACAAAGCATGCCAGATTTGGTTCTTATTGTGAAGACATTAACTAGGCAGCAAATCAAAAAGGGCGTACCCAGTGCAGAGAGCTCCCGCTCTGTGCGGGGTCTGGGGAAGGGTGTTAGTGGCAAGCCTTACCCTCGCCTGTGCAATGCGAGGAGACCGCGACTCGAACCCGGGACCTTCCGGTCACAGGCGGTAAGACTCTACCGCTTGCACCAGGCCCGCCCTTCAACTAGGCAGCAAACCAGCTTGTGAAAAATTCATTTGTCAACAGGGCAACAGTACATTCTGAGTGATTCATAGTCATCAAGATGGCAGCATTCAGCTGCCTATAGAGCAGACATAAAACTAATACAGCATTGAACTCAAGTAAGCTTATAAAAGAAGTGTTTAGATTGTATAGAAGTTCAAATCTAAAACTTGATTTAGTTCAACATAACCAGATATCTTATCAGATGGCGAGGAAATGACTAGCATTAAAATAATTGGGAAAAACTCTAAGCCTGCATGAGTATATTGGTTGAGATTGAACACTCAAATTAAATGACTAATTGCTTCTCGCCCTTGGGCCAGCTTGCCTATTCATGTGCCACATAATGGTCGAGCCCTCTTCAAGGTGGCTGTGGAGTCTGTGGTTGGAAATGGCCGAAATACTATGTTCTGGACTGATAGATGGTTGGGTGGAAAAAACATAGAAGAATGAGATACTAACCTTCTCAAGACAGTTATTAAGAGGGCTATTAAGCAACACATGGTTGCGGATGCTAATGCTGGTCGTCGATGGGTTTCTGATATAAAGGGTGCTCTGTCGGTCCCTGTGCTTCATGAGTATCTTCTGATCTGGGACCTGGTAGATGACTTCCCATTACAACCGAAGGTGACTGATTAGCATCATTGGAAGCTCTCCAAATCTGGATCTTATACTAGTAAATCGTCTTACGATGCTTTCTTCCTTCGCACAATTCAGTTTGCGCCGTGGAAGAGTTCCCCCCAGCCCCTGCTGCAAATTCTTCATCTGGCTTGCTATTAAGAATCACTGCTGGACAGCAGATCAGCTTGCCAAAAGAGGTAAAGAGGTCGCCCACACCCTGCTGCTTTCCCCCTTTGTGACCAAGAAAATGAAACTGAGCAACATTTGTTAGTCTCCTGCACCTTTACCTGCCAGGTTTGGTATATAATCCTACAGAAGCTCAGCATGGCCTCAGTTGCTCCTCAGCCATCATCAAGTTCTCAAGCTGGTGGTGCCAAGCTGTAAAGGGTGCAACAAAAGGCTGTCGAAAAGGGATCCACAGCCTGATCATACTTGTCTCTTGGGAAATCTGGAAGCACCGAAATGACTGTCTTTAGTGGCACTAGCCCAAGCATCTCTATCTAACTGCAAACTATTACTGATGAATGCATTTTGTGGTGTGCAGCATGTACAAAAGGTCTTCAGGAGTTGCTACCTAAGGCATTTGCTGCAGGCCATTGATATGTTTTGGTTCTAAGACTCTAGATGGGTCGTTTTGGTCTCTTGTATCGGGGTTTTAAATTTCTTGTTGAGGCTGGTGTGTGTGTGTGTGTCCTCGTGTGAGTGTGTGTGTGTGTGTGTGTGTGGGGGATTTGTTCCTCCCCTTTGTTTCCTTGTATCTTCTTAATGAAATGTCTCCTGCGTGTTCGAGAAAAATAAAATCTTGCATTCTAGCATAAAGCAACCTACCAAACTGAACTGAAAACTTGTGGCAACAATAGCACCTGGATGCTTTTGTTTAATAAAAAGAATAGGAAATCCCTCATAGAACCTGAGTACATGACCAAGGATTAAAAAAAAGGCTGTAGCCAGCAAATAGACCAAGGCAACAATCCACTGAATACATACCTGAACCACTGAGTCCTGTTATCCACACGACACAGCCTGTTTGTCCCAGCAACTTCTGTCTATCAGATTGTCCAATCGGGCAATTATGCCATAAAATATTAGTTGATTTCCCAATGTTTGACATTACAGGCTTCTCCTTCACTTATGATGATAGACATCAGTAAATGGTTAGTGCAGTTGTATTCCTCATGTTGATCAAATCCATTTGCACAATAGTAAAAAGTAAATAAAATGGCATAGCATAACTTATATGGACATAACCGTGACGCATATTCTTAATGAATGTTTCCTTCACAGTCTCAGATTTACAAAGTCTGATATTCCTTTTTTTTTCAGGAAACTGTGAAAAAATAAAAGTTCTTGTAAGGAAAATTATCCATGATCCTAACGTAACACATAAATCAAAGTGGATTCTTTGTTTGTCGTACCTATTTTCAGGGGCGGAGCCAGGAAGTTGATTTTTTTAATGTTAGGGGCCAAGAGTGTTGAATTTTCAAAATTTATTTGAAATTCAAAAAAGTCAGTGGAAATTTCACTTTCATAAGGGGGGGGGGGGCATCACCGCCCCTGCCTATATTGTAACATTTTTGCTGCAATTGTGAACGATGGACTAACAAGTTTTCACTACCTTTTACCTTCAATTCATAAGATGTATGCCATTGAGTCATCACGTTTCAAGTTTATTTGAAACCACCACCCCTCCCATGTACTTAGCAATTAAGACTCCTCGTCACTGTCGACCGCACTGCTATTAGGTCATTGTGAACGATTAACAGCCTGTTCGTTTCGTCGTAAACGATCGTGGATTATTTACTGCTGGCTGGTTTGGTGTGAGAGAAAAATACTGTTCCAGCTTATAATCCACGATCGTATACGAGCAAGCAAACAGGCTGTGAGATGTTTTCAGGGAAACTAGGAGATCCAGAGTTATCAGAAATCCAGGATTATCTACCACCACGACATTGATGACAACCCTCCAAGCGACCAGGACCAATCACCAAAACAGAAGGTGAGGCGTCATAATGGCAATACAAACCTTCCTACTGCCCTTCTTAAAGAGGTGGGGAAAATATACTAGAACGGTTCTTTCAAAAAAAAAAAAACTAGAACAGGACTAGACACATCACTGTCAAGCGTTCAATTGACTCCAGTTCGAGATCCAGTTCCACACGTATTTACTTGCAGTTACATCAACAGCATCTCACTAAACCTGTTCTTGATCTAAATATGTCCGTGTTACCTACGTCTCTGTCATCCTTATCGGATGATCGGCAGGACCCAAAGGTTAGCAGCAGTGGCTGATGACTAGTGAAGGCGTGAAGCAGAAGCAGCAAGCGGATAACCTCACGTACAGGTACGGCCACCCGGCCCCGTCCGACACATTACCCTCTAGCCTAGAATTAGAAAATTCCTGACGGTAGCTTCACCATGACATTGACCCCGGCAGATGAATTACCTGGGCCGTGTGGTGCCTCCCCGTGGCGCTGCTCCATTCCGCCGCCGCCGCACCCACCGCCCAATGCCGCGGTGGCAGTGCGCACGCGCACCGCGGCCCTCCCTCTCCTCCCCCTCGCGGCGCCCACCACCGCTGGCGAGGCCCGCGGGAGCGTGTGAGGAACGGGGAGTGAGGCCATGGATCACGAGCGCCGGCAGCGGCGCATCGTGGGGGGTGGGGGGTGGGGGAGGACGGGACGCGCGCGCTATGGATTTACGGGGCCGACGGCGCGGTGGCCGCTCCCGGCGTCAGCGTCGGACCGAAGAGGGTGTTGCTGGCTGAGCAGGGCGCCGGGTTCGGTGGTTGCTGCGTGTAACCAGAGGTTCCCTTTGATCGATGAAAAGGTTTTAAAATGCGTGGTGGTGCCGAGGTGGGGTGCGGCCGCGCGGGTTGTTGTCAGGCGCGGCTGAGCCTGTTCCTTTAGCCGACTAGTTCAAATTTCATAAGTGTGTGACATAGTTTTAGAAACCATCGTTTAAATTAGTGTTTGATAAAACTTTCTCAAATGGGAAAATGAGCTATGTAACAATATATCTTGCTGAGATTTTATTCAGAGTTTTTCATCTGAGGTCATTTAGTGTCTCATTTGAGCAAGTTTGACCAAGTCAAATTTGGTCAAATGAAAAAACAACACTTTGACTCTAGTATTATGAACTCTAAATGACTAATTGAAAAGTTTTGAATACCAAGTTTGTTCAACTCATCAAGATCTACAATTCTTGTTTTGGTCAACTTTACATTTGAGATAGTTTGATGGTTCAAATTTGTGATTTTTAAATTTCGATGCTTAAAACTAGTTTTCGTAACCCTAGATTGTCTCTCAAATTGAAAAGTTTTGAATACCAAGTTTGTTCAGCTCATCAAGATCTACAATCCTTATATAGGCTATTTTTTCATTTGAGAAAGTTTGAACAAAATGTAGTTCAAATTTCACAAGTGTGTGACAGATTCAAAAGTCTATAAGATTCAAGAATTTGTGACTAGTGTTTGATAAAACTTTCTCAAATGGGAAAATGACAATTGTATATCTTGCTGAGATGATCAAACTTGATATTCAGAGTTTTTTTCATCTGAGGTCATTTAGTGTCTCATTTGAGCAAGTTTGACCAAGTCAAATTTGGTCAAATGAAAAACAACACTTTGACTCTAGTATTATAAACTCTAAATGACTTCAAATTGAAAAGTTTTGAATACCAAGTTTGTTCAACTCATCAAGATCTACAATTCTTGTTTTGGTAACTTTCCATTTGAGATAGTTTGGATGGTTCAAATTTGTGATTTTTAAATTTCGATGCTAACAAACTAGTTTTGGAACCCTAGATTGTCTCAAATTGAAAAGTTTTGAATACCAAGTTTGTTCAGCTCATCAAGATCTACAATCCTTATATAGGCTATTTTTCATTTGAGAAAGTTTGAACAAAATGTAGTTCAAATTTCTATAAGTGTGTGACATAGTTTCAGTAAAATCTATATGAGATTCAAGAATTTGGACTAATGTTTGATAAAACTTTCTCAAATGGGAAAATGAGCTATGTAAAATTGTATATCTTGCTGAGATGATCAAACTTGGTATTCAGAGTTTTTTTCATCTAAGGTCATTTAGTGTCTCATTTGAGCAAGTTTGACCAAGTCAAATTTGGTCTAATGAAAAAACAACACTTTGACTCTAGTATTATGAACTCTAAATGACTTCAAATTGAAAAGTTTTGAATACCAAGTTTGTTCAACTCATCAAGATCTACAATTCTTGTTTTGGTCAACTTTCCATTTGAGATAGTTTGGATGGTTCAAATTTGTGATTTTAAATTTCGATGCTTACAAACTAGTTTTCTAACCCCTAGATTGTCTCAAATTGAAAAGTTTTGAATACAAAGTTTGTTCAGCTCATCAAGATCTACAATCCTTATATAGGCTATTTTTTCATTTGAGAAAGTTTGAACAAAATGTAGTTCAAATTTCACAAGTGTGTGACATAGTTTCGAAAGTCTATATGAGATTCAAGAATTTGTGACTAGTGTTTGATAAAACTTTCTCAAATGGGAAAATGAGCTATGTAACAATTGTATATCTTGCTGAGATGATCAAACTTGGTATTCAGAGTTTTTTCATCTGATATCATTTAGTGTCCATTTGAGCAATTTGACCAAATCCGAAAAAACAACACTTTGACAGTATTATAAAAAATGACTTCAAATTGAAAAGTTTTGAATACCAAGTTTGTTTAAATCATCGTGATCTACAATTCTTGTACAGCCCATTTGAGATAGTTGATGGTTCAAATTTGTGATTTTTAAATTTCGATGCACCTGTTTTTCAAATTGAAAAGCTTTGAAACCAAGTTTGTTCAGCTCATCATCTACAATCCAGGTTATTTGAGAAAGTTTGAAAAAATGTTGTTCAAATTTCAAAAATATTTGTGATTTTATAATTTCTCAAATGAAAAGTAGTAAAATTGTATATCTTGAGATGATCAAACTTGGTATTCAGTTTTTCATATGCGAGTGTCTCATTTTGAGCAAGTTTGACCAAGTCAAATTTGGTCATGATTCTCTAAATGTGGTTGACGATTTTTTCAAGATCTAATTTTAACACTTTTGATAAACTAATTTTAAATCTAACCCTAAATTGTCTCAAATTGAAAAGTTTTGAATACCAAATTTGTTCATCTCATCAAGATATTTTTTTTAAGATTAACACTTTCACAAGTGTGTGACATAGTTTGAAGTCTATATGAGATTCAAGAATTTATGACTAGTGTTTGATAAAACTTTCTCAAATGGGAAAATGAGCTATGTAACAATTGTATATCTTGCTGAGATGATCAAACTTGGTATTCAGAGTTTTTTCATCTGCCGCAAGTTTGACCAAGTCAAATTTGGATTCTAGTATTATAAACTCTAAATGACTTCAAATTGAAAAGTTTTGAATACCAAGTTTGTTCAACTCATCAAGATCTACAGTTGTTGTTTTGGTCAACTTTCCATTTGAGATAGTTTGGATGGTTCAAATTTGTGATTTTAAATTTTGAATAAATATCCTGGATAATATCCGCTTTTAAATATCCTGGATATATCCGATACTTATTCGATTATCGATATCCGCCGGAATATCGATGATGTTTTGACCAATGACATGGCTATCCGTATAAGTGTCATATTTGTTCGCCACCAGGTTCCTTTGATCGATGAAAATTGTTTTGGTGTGGCGTGGCGTGCCGAGATGTCGGCGAATTGTCAGCGCTGGCATGGAGAACTATCGTGCGAAGCTTTATTTTTCTATCACATAAATTAGTTAGTAGTACATCTTTACTTAACCAAAGAATCTAAACGTAACCGAAATCTAACCAAAGCAGATGGGGGTGGAGTGGAGAGATGGAGGCAACCGCTTGACCGATCCGCGATGCGCGCGCCTATAACGCAGTGCAGTGGCTTGCGTGGTTGCATGCCCCGCCATGCCACCCGAGGCAATGGTAATTGACAGACTGACGGCCGGGCGCCGGGTGGGCCGCCTCTCTCAAAAAAAACACTTGCTTCATACGCCTTCTCTCATAAATGAACCAAGAACGATATGAACCAAACCGGCGAACATCTTTGCTTGTTGCCATGCCATTGCCATCCATATCCCCAACCCCCAACCAATAATCCATCCGACAGTACAAATAAAATAATGTAATCGAGAGGCACGGTGAAAGCTACAAATACCGAGATGCGCGACCAAAGACTGCTTTTTCCGCGCCCAAAGTTATGCTAAAATGTTGTGAGAAAAAAAAAATATTATTTTATAATTGAAAAGTAGTTTAGAATAAGCTCAAGCGAATAGGGCGCATGATTCTTGTGGTTGACGATTTTTTTTAATTTTAACACTTTTATAAACTAATTTTAAATCTAACACTGTTTTTTTTAAACTAACACTTTTGGCCGCGCCTGTTAAAGATGTGCCGCGCCATGTGGCGGCGGCGCGGTGGATGACGCCAACCGCCAATGTGACCATGGTAATGCGCCGCGCGACCAGCCATGATAGGGTGGCGCATGCGTTGACGCGTGCAGACATGTCGGTGGCGTGGCAGAGCCGAATAAAAGCGCCACGCCCGCCTCCGCTGTCTCGAAAGACGCCTGCCACTTGCAAGACGCCGCGTTCGTTTCACGGCTTCGCGCGCTGCTTCAGCACGGCGAGACTCCACCCGCCGAAAACACCCGTTGTCGCGTGCCTCTGCCGCCACGGCCACCAGCTGCCAAGCCAAGACGCCGCGGCGCGCCACCCCCTCCGACCACGCACGGCGGCTGCCCGCCACGCCCGCCGAGGCCGGTGCCCATGCCTCCCGGCCCGGTCTAGCGCGCCACCGCCGCGAGGACGAGCGCCGCTACCGCGAGGTACTCCCCTAGTGTATTTGTTGATTGAATCGACGTTGTTAGTAAGTTTAGTTAGTACGGTTAGTGAGTCTAGTTATACATTGTATTTAGTCTAATTAGTTATTGTAGTTAGCTTTGTATATATGTTAATATTAGATTTTAGTCTAATTAGTTATTGCAGTTAGCTTTGTATATATGTTAATATTAGATTAATTAGTATAGTTATAGTTAGAATATATATTAATATTACTATGGACATTACGTACGACGATTTCGACGACTTGATGAAGTTTCTTGAAATGCTTTTGCAGATGGATTGTTGTGTTAGAGTTTTTCACGGAGAAAGTATTAGGAGAGAAGATGGTATGTTTGAGGATATGGAAGAAAAATTGGAATGATTTGATGAATCTCCTAACTTCAACGACTTTTGTGTCCGTTTGAATGCAAAGTTTGACGATGATTTCACACTAAAGGGGAGGTTTGATACTAGGAAGACTAGGGCACACTATGTCCTCATGCCCTTACGCGACCCTGCTCACTGGTCTCGCTACACTAGGGTGCTCCAAGATTCCAATGTGTCCATGACTGGGGTGGTAGTGGAGAATGGGTATAGGATGCAGGGTGTCCAGGACGGGCCGTCCATTGATGGTGTCGGAGGCAATGAACACAAATTAGGGGTCGAAGGGGAAGCAACTTAGGGTAACATGGATTTGGATGGTCAGTTGACGTGAGAGCAGTTTCATTCAACTGCAGTAGGCTGTATAAGCAATGACTTCGATATGAATGAGTT